CCAACAAGGCTAGCATTAATCCAAAAAACACAAAATAATAAATGCTGGAGAGGTTGTGGAGAGACTGGAACACTTATACATTGTTGGTGGGAATGTAAAATGGTACAACCACTTTGGAAATTGATTTGATGCTTCCTTAAAAAGCTAGAAATAAAAGTACCATACAATCCAGCTATCCGGCTCTTTAGAATATATCCTAGAGAAGTAAGAGCCATCACACGAATAGATATATGTACACCCATGTTCATTGCAGCACTGTTCACATAGCAAAAAGATGGAAAAAACCTAGGTGCCCATCAACAGACCAATGGATAAACAAATTATGTTACATCCACACAATCAAATACTACACAAAGATAAAGAACAACGATGAAGCCATGAAATGTCTTAAAACATGCAGGAAGCTGGAGGTCATTATGCTGAGTGAATTCAGTCAGTCAAAGAAGGACAAATACTGTATAAGACCACTATTATAAGAACTCAAGAAAAGGTTTAAACACAGAAGAAAACATTCGTTGATGGTTACGAGTGTGGGGAGGGAAGGTGAGGGTTATTCACTAACTAGACAGTTGATAAGAATCATCTTAGGTGAAGGGAAGGACAGCACACACTACAGGGAAAGTCAGCACAACTGGACTAAACCAAGCTAAGAAGTTTCCTGAATACAATCAAACACTTTGAGGGACACAGTAGCAGGGTCAGGGTTCTGGGGACCATGCTTTCAGGGGACATCTAGGTCAACTGGCATAACAAAGCTTATTAAGAAAATGTTCTGCATCCTACTTTGGTGAATGGCGTCTGCAGTCTTAAAAGCTTGCAAGCGGCCACCTAAGATGTATCAATTGGTCCCAACCACCTGGAGTAAAGGAGAATGAAGAACACCGAAGACACAAGGAAAGTATTAGCCCAAGAGACAGAAACAGCCACATAAACCAGAGACTTCATCAGCCTGAGACCAGAAGAACTAGATGGTGCCTGTCTACTGCCAATGACTGCCCTGACAGGGAACACAACAGAGATTCCCGGATGAAGCAGGAGAAAGGTGGGGTGCAGAACTCAAAGTCTAGTAAGACGACCAGACTTAATGGTCTGACCAAGACTGAAGGAAGCATGGAAAGCATGGCCCCTGGATTCTCTATCAGCCCAGAACTAAAACAATTTCCGAGGCCAACTCTTCAGACAGGGATTGGACTGGACTGTGGGACATCAAGTGATACTCGTGAGGAGTGTGCCTCTTAGCTCAAGTAGATACAAGAGACTAAACGGGCAGCTTCTGTCCAGAGGTGAGATAGGAAGGCAGAGAGGTAGGAGCTGGCTGAATGGACATGGAGAATCAGGGGTGCAAAGGAGGAGTGTGCTGTCACAGTATGGGGAGAGCAATTAGAGTCAGATAACAATGTATGTATAAATTTTTGTATGGGAAAAAATTAAAAAAGAAAAGTAATGAAAATGGTTGCACAACTCTAAGAATGTAATCAATGTCACTGAACTGCACACGTAGAAATGGTTGAATTGATTTGTTTTGTACTTGTATATTCTCAATAAAAACAATGCATATATCAAAATATATTTAAACATCCCCTTTATTGATAGTCATTCAGGTTGTGTGCTATTATAAGCAACGCTGCAATGAATATCAATGTATATGTCTTTTTGTACTCGTGCTAGTATTTTTGTAGGATGAATTCCTTGAAGTTGGATGGCTGATCACAGGGTATACATATTTTACATTTTGATTAGATAATGCCAAATTTTTCTATGAAATGTGTTTCCAATTTGTATTCCCACCAACAAGATATGAGGGTGTTCACTTTCTTATACCTCCACTAATACCTGTTATCTTTTACATCTTTGCCAATCTGTGAGATGAAAATTGGCATCATGTTATTTTAATTTGTATACCTTTATTAGGAAAATTAGGCATATTTTCAGGTTCACTGGCCATTTCTTCTTCTATATATTTTCTACTCACATTCTTTGACCATTTTTCTAGCAGTTTGTTTGCCTTATTCTTTTGTAGAAGCTTTTCATACACGGATATGAACTCTTATCTTTGTATTAACTGTGAACAGTTTCTGTCTGCCATTACATTTGAGTATGGTGTCTTTACTGTAAGCTTAAAATTTTTTTATGTATTCAAATACAACAATCTTTTCCTCTATGGCTTCTACTTTTTGTGTCTTGCTGAGAAAGGTCCTTCCTACTCAAAAATCTAAAAAGTATTAAAAGAACAAATGTACATATCTGTCATTAAATTCCTGAGGTAATTAGCCAAGAATAGACATAAAAGAAGAAATCTGAAATGTCATTTTTGTCATACACTAGGTTATTGTAAATATATTTTGGTATACTTTTGAACTCTATTCAGTTCCATTAATCTATTTGTTTATTCCTGGGCTAGTACAACACAGTTCTTTCTAATATATATTTGGGAGAAATTTGTACTAGAATGTAAGCTTCATGAGCCCCAAACCCAGAGTAGCCTTGGTGACTGCCTTACTCTTTGGTTAATTGCTATATTCTGTGTCTACACTAGTCAGTACCTGGCATGTGGTAGGTACTTAATGAATACATGTTCAAAGAATGAATAAGTGCACAAACCTTGCATATTCCAAGACTCAATTTCCTAACCCTCTGCTTTTTTCCCTGTTACAATACGGAAACCTCAGATTTCTGATTGAAAGTCATTTTGAAATAGTAAGATAGGCTTTAAACATAGTTCTTGTCCTCCTGGTTAACATAATAAAACATCTCTGAAACATGATCATCACCAAACATTTGTGTGTAGGGCACTATGTTAGATGCCAGGTCATAATGATTAATGATGTTCTAGTTGGGAAAGAAAAGGCATAAATCTATCTATATACATATAAAAAGAAACATAAAATACATAAAATACAATATATTAAGTGTCAAATAGCTAACACAAATGATAAGACCATAGAGTCAGAGGACCGGTCTTCTCTGAAACAGTTTTCTAGATTTATAAATAAAATAGCAATTCCTGTCTCCTAGAATAATTAAGGAGCCCTGGTGGTGCAGTGGATGGTGGAGAGCTCAGCTGCTAACCAAAAGGTCAGCAGTTTCAACGTACCAGCCACTCCTTGGAAACGCTATGGGGCAGCTCTGCTCTGTCCTATAGGCCACCATGAGTCAGAATCAACTTAATGGCAACAGGTTTTTATTTTTTAAGAATAATTAAGATACAGAGCCACCAAGGATGGTCCCCGAATGTTCTATGACAGTAGAGCTAGACCTTAATAATAACTATTGGGAGAGTTCTTATTATATGCCATTCATTTTTCTTAATGTTTTCATATATTAACTAACTTAATCCTCTCAACAATTTTAAGAGATAAACCAAAAAAAAAAAAAAAAAAAAACCATTGCCATCGAGTTGAATTCCGACTCACAGTGACCCTACAGGACAGAGTAGAACTGCCTTATAGGGTTTTCAAGGCTGTAATCTTTACGGAAGCCGACTGCCATTATCTTTCTCACATGGAGCAGCTAGTGGGTTTGAACCACTGACCTTTCAGTTAGCAGCTGAATGCTTAACCACTGCAGCACAAGGGCTCCTATTCTAAGAGATAGGTACTATTATTTTTCCCTGATTTTAACCATAGACAGTTTTAACTTTGGAGAGTTTAATTAGTTTGCACAAAATCACACTGCTAGGTATGAAGCCAGAGTTCAAACCCAGAAATTCTGGCTCCAGAATCTGAGCGCTCAACTACTACATGAGTTTTCAACCCAAGGAAAACCAAACCTGTTGCCGTAGAGTCAATTCCTACTCATAGCAACCCTACAGGACAGAGTAGAACTGCCCCATAGGGCTTCCAAGGAGTGGCTGGTGGATTCAAACCGCTGACCTTTTGGTTAGCAGCCCATCTCTTAACCACTGGTAGGCCCTAAAAGAGCAGAATTTAGACAAGCAGATAGGTTGAAGGAGACATTCATCTACTCATCTGAACAATAAATCAGGGCTTCAAATCGATTTGTTTCTGTTGAAACCTTTGATGAGAATTTGTATTTCTAATAAGTTCCCACGCAGTGCTAATGCTGCTGGTCAGGGACCAATTCTGAGAACCACTAGTAGAGTAGTGGTTCTCAAAATTTATGATACATAAGAATCACCTGGGGATCTTGTTAAACTGTAGATTGTGATTCGGCGTATCTGGGGAGGAACCCTAGTGGCTCAGCGGTTAAGAGCTCAGCTGCTAACCAAAACGTCAGCAGTTCGGAATCTACCAGCCGCTCTTTGGAAACCCTATGGGGCAGTTCTACTCTGCACTCATAGGGTCGCTATGAGTTGGAATTGATTCAACAGCAATGGGTTTGGGGTGGAAATGCAAATTATTAGCAGGGGTTCGAACTGGAAGGAACTGGTCGGAAGCCCTGCAATAAATTGACCAATCTGGCCACGGTAGAAGAAAGGGAGTAGAGCTCAATTTACGTAACTACAATGAAGAATAATCAACTGTTATGTCAACCATCTGTAACATAAAGTTTCTTTTGTGTGCTTCAGTTTGGCTCCAAAGCAACACTTCTCCCATCTTTACTGTTAAATTAATAAACTCTGACAGAAAAAATAAACAAACATTGTGGCAGTTATTTATCAATTATGGATGCTATTACCCTGTTGCCAGAGCAACAGCTCCGGCGTCTGCCTTGATCCTACAGGAGTCACGTCTCCCTGGCCGTGCCTGTTACCGCATCCACGGATTACTGTGAAGAAAATGAAAGAAGGCAAGTGATCCTAAACATCTGCAGTCACCAACTCTGAATCCTCTTTTTTTCCCTCCCTCCACGTCCCCTCTCCCAGCCCTAACTCCCCCAGGCACTTCCTCGGGAACACAAAGGTCCGAGAACGATTGCTGAGGTAACGGCGTCGTCTCCACTCAGGGTCAAGGACCGAGGCTCTGAGATCCGCGGGCTTATTTACTCCGGGTTCTAGTCCCGGTTTTGGCGCTATCAGGCCTTGGGCAAGACACCAGGCCTTGTGCCCAAACATAGCCCCTTCCCGGACCTCAGTTTCCACAGAAGTACTCGGCAAAAGGCCCTTTTAACATTGAGCAGAAAGGGCTGAGACATGCCGGGTCTCCCGTTAAGAGCTCCGACATACCTGGTTACTTGCCCCAGGAGCCGGGGGTCCGGGCCTCCCGGTATACAGAAGTCCTCTCCTTCCCCGGCCACCACCTTAGGTCCGTTATTTCATCTTCGCTTCGGGCTCCTCCACCCAAAGGCCCAGCTCCCACTACGTGCCTCAGATGCGCGGCCTTCCCGGGGCTGCGTGCGTCGCAACAGCGCGGGAAGGGGTCTGGAGGCGGCACCAGACGCCACCGAGCCAAGGGGCGGGGCGCCCTTCGCCAGGCAGCCAGTCAGCTCACAAGCGTGCCCGGTGGGGCGGAGCGCGTCGGGCGCGGGGCGGGGTCTGCGGTGGCAGACACACGCAGCTGCAGCTGCTTGAGGCTGAGGTGGCAGATTGTAGTGAGCCCGGTGGCGGAGGCAAAGTCGGAGTCAGAGAGTAATGATGAATGGAGCGGCGGGACACTCGCACTTCGGCAGTCGCGAGCGAATTCTCAAGTTGGGCGAGAGTTTCGAGAAGCAGCCGCGCTGCGCCTTCCACACCGTGCGCTGTGAGTTGTTTCTACCTGGGGGAAAAGGAGGAGCCTCCGGGATGGGGGTGTAGGGACACAAACCCCTCCGAATTCTGTTCCCACGGTCCTTTAATTTTCTGGAGAATGAGGGACCCAGCTCCCCTTCCTGGACTCCAAGGGGTCCGGAAGAAGGAGTCGGAGCCGAGCAGTTGTGGGTAAACCCACAGAAGAATTTGAGACCAACCGGCAGGAAGGTGAAACTTTGTGGAGAAGGGCTGCGGAGGGGACTGTCAGACAGACGTGACGGGTGGATGATGCAGAGGTGGAAAGGAAAATAATAAGGTGACAGATGCAAGAGTGCAAAGTGCCGAACTATTCTCAATTATGCAGAGGGAAGGGACTTCTTTGAAGCTGGTAGGGAAACAGCCTCTCCTTTCTCTTTCTCGCCTCTAGCTGGTGCGTGTCCTTATTTAGTGTGTTCTTGGGAAGATATTCTGAACCATCCCAATAATCCGTATTTCTTTTGCAATTCTGATTTCATTCAGTCAATTATCAAGTATTGATTATGAAAGTATTGGAGAGTGTGTTATTAAGTTCTTTATTTGGAAGATACTTACCTCCCTGTGACTTCTACCGTTTGGTTTTCCTATATTCTCTGGAACTAGTTTTAATAAATCGTTTACTTTTATGTTGTTGAGCTAGAAAAGGAAACTCTTTTGCTTTAATAATTGACTGGTGTAGATTACAGGAAGCAATATTGCATATTATGCTTTTGTATGTAAAAATTCATTTTTTTGCATAATAGCCCTCAGAATTCATTCTAGAGCTGGAAGGAAACGGTGAGATCATTGAATCATGACCTCTCATTTTTCTGTGGCAAATTGCGAAGTAGGTATTTTTTTCACTTCCTTTCTCCACCTCTGCCCTTCTTCACAGTCATTCTGCCCTGGCTTATCCAGAGACCTTTATGAGTTTTGCTCTGAAGTGGTCCATGTTTCAATCAAAACTCCTAACAAAAATTTACATTCTCCAAAAGTTTACTTAAGTTGTGACCGTAGTAACTTATTTTTATTAGAATAAAATATTTTTATTGAAGGTTTTATGAAAGAGTTTTATTAAGAAAAATTATTTTGCTGTGTATATTCTCAACAACAACAAAATAAATAAAGTTTAAAAGAAAAATTACCATCCAATGGTAGAATAAATGGGGGAGATATTTGTGAACAGAAGATCTTCAACAGTGCATCTTGTTTATTCTTCTTTACCTTACTCTTGTCCAAGGCTCCCCACAGTGAAACAGCTAGTGCTCACTGTGCAGTTTCTCTCCCTGTTTAGTCCCATTTTCCAAAAGTATGATACGGTTCTTATCTGGTTTCTCCATGCGTTTCTCTCAAATGGTATCTCCTCTCTCCTTTCCCTTCTCAGGTATGTAGTAGTCTTCATACACTACAGGCTATTGTCCATAGTATTAGTTTTTCAAATTACTAAGTTTAAGATTATAAAAATTTGCGCAAGAATATTTGTCCCCATAATTTAGGGATATACTCTCTTTTTAAGGACATGAATCCCAAATTAAGTGAATAAAAAATAGCCTTTGAAAAGCACCCTTGCAAGTGCTCTAAAGCCTTTCATTTATAAAGGTTCTCAAAATGCTGGAATTCTGCCTTCAGAGTAAGAGAATCAGTGGAATAGCTTGATGATCCAGCTGCAGGAATGAAAATAAACAAATCAGTAACAATAGCACCCACAAAAAACCAGATATTTGAATACCAGCTTAGTCCAGTAGAAGACATTAGAAGGGTTTTCAGCCCTTATTTTTTTCTTGTTGTTGAAGTAGGCATAATAACTGCATGTAATGTTTTTCGATTTGTTTAAATAAAACCAGTCATTATCCTTGAGGACAGGTTCACTTCCAATGTGACCCTCACTCATAAGGACCAAAGTGAAGGATGGAAACTATAGAATGGTGGATCTGACTTTTATACAGGACTAGTGGACCTAATTTATAATGAACACCTAGAACCTGGGGAAAAGTAACATTCTGTTTCTATATAAAGGGGAAAATATGCCTGTCTGATATGCTGAGGTTTCAACAGACCTGGATGTGAATCCTGGCCTCTACCACCTGTATATTTAATGTAACTTTGGGAACATTCTCCAGCCTCTCAGTTTCAGTTTCCTTATGTGTAAAATGGAAGTAATAATGTCTGTATTTTAGAGTTTTTGTAAGGATTAAATAAAGTAGTATAAACAACCTAGCACAGTGTTGGGCACATGGAAGACAATAAATGGTAGCAACCATTATTGATCGAGGGTTATATTTATGTGTATATGAAGAGTACCAGTGAAGTCTAGAAAGACTTCAAAAAGTATTTATCAAGGCTTTCCAATAAAATCTATTTAGATAGTCTGACATGTGGTAGGGAGGACATGAGATGTTTTATCAAGGATAAGCTAAGTCCTTAGCAACAGATGCTTCACTGTGGAAGAGTTTAAATAACAGGGCCCACTAGGAATCAATTTTGGATTTGAGCTAGTACTAGTTTTACAACTTATATGCAGGTAAGGAATGAACAGTAAAGTTCCTAATCTTGTAAATGATACTACTTTTTGCTGTCATGAAATGTGAGCTAATGGGCAATGACTACAGGAATATTGTCTGAGGCTTTAAGTGGACCCATCACCAAAAACCTGATGGTTAAGTTCTGGTTTGAGAAAATACCGGAAAGTGTACTAATGAAAAGTAGGATAAAACTATATTTACAGGTTAAGGTTGTCTGATCAGTGTGGTACATTGGAAAGGGTATGAGTTTTGGAGTTAGTTGGATTAGTTCAAATCCCAGGAATGAAACTGATGACAGTAATCATGGATTGTTTTATGAAGATATTGACATTATGTGATGCTACAGCCAAAATAGTCAGAAAAGTGATAAACACTGTCAAAAAAAAGTATTAAATACAAAATGTTTTTCTATCCTTTTATGTTATAAGTAATTATGTTGTTAAACCTGAAGAAAATAACATAGACCAGAGATGGGGCCAAGATGGTGGAATAATCAGATGCTTCGTGTCATCCCTCTTTCAATTAAGACCCAAAAAAACAAGTGAATCGTATATATACGACAGTCTAGGAACCCTAATCATCAAGGACAAAGCTGCAGAATCGGATTGAACGACAGGTGGCAGGAGAGACAGTTCAAAAACAAGGAAATGGGAAATTACAGGATCGCAGGATCACTGGCATCCTGCTAGCTGAATCTGCACAGTGCACACAGTTAAGGGAAGCAGCAACATCACAAACCAAAACCCAGTCCATCTTGTGCAGCCAAGCAGCAGCAAATCTGTACGCACCTCCAGAACCAAATAGGAGCTACACCAGATCTGTAAAAATTAAATTCAAGCTCCCAAACCACTGTGCGCACACCATAACCCTTCCCCCAGCCAGAGCTGCACGGCTGAGGAGCACTCCCTTTTTCTGATCCATCGCCCTTCTTGCTCTGATGCCAGTCCTGCAGCATTCAATACCGCCAAGCCAACTAAGCAGGGAACTCACGACTGAGTCGGGAGGCACCTGCTTCTTGCCCAGCCACTGGTGTAGAGGGTCTACAGACTTGCAGCACCCTTCACCCCTACCAGTCACCTGCCCCACTGTCTTGCAGGCCAGCCTGACCCTGAATGCCCTCGTTAGGACAAAACCGCTGGGGCATCCACCTGAAGCCCGTTTTTACCTGCAGCAGCCAGGTGGGAGCTGCAGATCTGTGACACTCGACACTGCCCTGCCCCCTAAGAAGGGGCCTCACATACCCACACTGGGGGCGTAAGGGCTGGTGGTACCATGTACTCCATCTAGCCACCACAACAGGGGCTTGCAAATTAGTGGTGCCTCCCAACCGCTCCAGCCAACAGCACTGGGCGCCCAAAGACTGGCTGTACTACCCCACCACTGTGCGCTGTAGCAGACAAGGGCATGTCCTCCATTCAGGCACTTGAAGGCAGCTGACAGCCCCCAACCTTGGCTACATATCGCCCCCCACTGCAACCAGAGAGCTGTGTCTGCTCCGAACACCCGTACACAGCTCTGCCCACCGAGGACTGTAGGTGAGAGTCTCCGTACCACACATTCAATGACCAACAACCCAGGCACCTGCACCCCGAGCAACCAACTGCGCAAACAACACCCAACCCAGTGACCAGGGAGGACACCCCCTGCACCCTCAACCAGGTGACCAGCAGGACGGATTCATCACCTCACTAGAAATCTTTACTTATGTCTTCAGCAAGCCCACAAGAATAGTGAACATACTACCAGGATCGCACACCTAGTGGCTGCTCTGACTGCCTGGAGACAGGAGGTGAGAGCGTCCGTGACGCCAATGACCAGAGTAGCACACATGCCCAGCCTACTTGAACATATCAAAACAAAACAAAACAACAATACAGGATGCAACAACCAAATAAATAAATATGGTAACATATCGATGCCTCAGAGACGACTGTCAATATCAAATCACATAAAGAAGCACAACAAGATGGCTTCAGCAAACGACCATAATAAAGAACCAGAAAACCTTCCAGAGGACAATAAGGCAATGGAACTACCTGATGAAGAATTCAAAAGATTAATATACAGAGGTCTCTAGAGATCAAGAAGGAGATCAGGCAAAACACAGA